AGTGGAGTAAGGAAGAGCAGTGCAGTAGAGTAAGGAAGAGCAGCGGAGTGGAGTAAGGAAGAGCAGCACAGTAGAGTAGGGAAGAGCAGCGGAGTGGAGTAAGGAAGAGCAGTGCAGTAGAGTAAGGAAGAGCAGCAGAGTGGAGTAAGGAAGAGCAGTGGAGTGGAGTAAGGAAGAGCAGCGCAGTAGAGTAAGGAAGAGTGGAGTGGAGTAAGGAAGAGCAGCGGAGTGGAGTAAGGAAGAGTGGAGTGGAGTAAGGAAGAGCAGCACAGTAGGAAGAGCAGCACAGTAGAGTAAGGAAGAACAGTGGAGTGGAGTAAGGAAGAGCAGCGGAGTGGAGTAAGGAAGAACAGCGGAGTGGAGTAAGGAAGAGCAGCACAGTAGAGTAGGGAAGAGCAGCACAGTAGAGTAAGGAAGAGCAGCGGAGTGGAGTAAGGAAGAGTGGAGTGGAGTAAGGAAGAGCAGCACAGTAGGAAGAGCAGCCCAGTGGAGTAAGGAAGAGCAGCGCAGTAGGAAGAGCAGCCTAGTGGAGTAAGGAAGAGCAGCACAGTAGGAAGAGCAGCCCAGTGGAGTAAGGAAGAGCAGCACAGTAGAGTAAGGAAGAGCAGCACAGTAGAGTAGGGAAGAGCAGTGGAGTGGAGTAAGGAAGAGCAGCAGAGTGGAGTAAGGAAGAGCAGCACAGTAGGAAGAGCAGCCCAATGGAGTAAGGAAGAGCAGCGCAGTAGAGTAAGGAAGAACAGTGGAGTGGAGTAAGGAAGAGCAGCACAATAGAGTATCAGACTGAGAGACACACTTGAGGTTCAGTTTCTGGTTTTCCTGAAAGACCTTTTATAACATTTGGGGGCAAGTCATTGATCTCTTAAGTCATTGCTGTCCATAGAGAAATGAAAGTGATTCCTGGCTTCTTACTTCTCACAGGCTATTCTGAATCAAAAAGCAAGTTTGTTTCCTCTTCTGCCAAGGAGCTATAAAACTGTCACCAAAATTTCTCCTGTGATTATAACTTTTCTAAAGAGATATTCTTGAAGAATGTTACATTTGGTTGCTTTTAAATATTTTAAGTGGGCAGTAACAAAGAATAGCCAGTGAGAGTATCAAGTTATGAGGAAGGTGATTTGCCGAGGCCACATTCTGCTCTTGCATGTACCCGTCTCTGAAAGTTCCTTTTGGATGGAGTTCTGTGCCTATCAAAACCTGGCCTTAAGTGGCTACATTGTGTACTCCACAGTGTGTCTGCCTAGCTCCCTTTAGAATAATGAGTTTAGCATTTGCTTGTTGACAGGAGCCTATGTCCTAAGCAACTTCAGTTAATCAGAAAACATGGTTGAAATTGATAGCACATGTTTCTATTCTCTGGGATGGAGAAGACTGTCTTTAGAGGGTAATTATTTTGTAACCACTATGTTTTTGAAATGCTACACTAATATATTGAATATACTAGTCCCGGACATTTGAAGGATTGAATTTGTGTGTAAATATACTACGCTTTGGTAAAGATACTGATACACTTGGGTCAATAGGCTGTTGGAAACAGAAATGCTAACTCATCCTAAAGGTTAATTGTTCTTAAACAGCAGTGTGTTGATATCCTTGTTAGTGTTTTGCTGTGGATATGTTATGCTTTTTTTTTTTTTTTTTTTTTTTAGTAAATAGCATATTATTGATGCAGTTATATGTTTAATGTTTTCATTAAGTATATTTGTCAACACTTATTAGTGAACCATATTATTTTGAGAAAATTCTTCAGCATAGGAGAACTGAAGGTAAAAGGGAAATATTTCTAAAATTATCTCTTGAGTAGGTCATAAATCTCAGTATCATTATAGTACATCAAATTTAAGATTCACATTAAGACAAATGAAATAATAAAAACATAATGAATCAAGTACAGCAGTATCATAATGTTATCATTGCATTAACCTGAAACCTAAATTTTTTTATAACTCCTTGAGAAGTTCTTTATCTTATTAAAAATATTTTTAATTCATATGCTACAGCTTTAGGAGCCACTTTCATAATTTTAAAACTCCTAAAATTAGGGCAGCACCTGTGGCTCAGTGAGTAGGGTGCCGGCCCCATATACCAAGGGTGGCGGGTTCAAGCCTGGACCTGGCCAAATTGCAACCAAAAAATAGCTGGGTGTTGTGGCGGGCACCTGTAGTCCTAGCTACTCCGGAGGCTGAGGCAAGAGAATTGCCTAAGCCCAAGAGCTAGAGCTTGCTGTGAGCTGTGACAGCATGACACTCTACCGAGGGTGACAAAGTGAGACTCTGTCTCTTAAAAAAAAAAAAAAAACCTCTTAAAATTATATCTCTCCTGTGTATCTATTAAATAGTAAGGAATAATACAGTAATTTGTGACAATTGCCAGTATAGAAAATTATAGTATCAATTATTTTTATATCAGCTACAAGAGAAGAAAAACTAAACAATTCAGAGGATAAAAATAGTTTGGCTTATTTTTGAAGCTCTAACTTGGTGAGTCTACATTTCTAAAAATAAATTTCAAGTTAAATACAAATGACTTGAGAAGTTTTGAATAAGGTAGAATGTACAGTTTTTTTAAGATATCTTTTTAGTGATTCAAAGTAAATGAATTTGTAATAGATAAATGGTCCCTAATTTACAATGATTTGAATTAATTTTTTTTACTTTATGATGATATGAAAGCAATACACATTCAGTAGAAACTGTACTTAAAGTACCAACACAACCATTCTATTTTTAAGTAGTGTATTTAATAAATTATATGAGATAGTCAATACTTTATTATAAGATAGGATTCGTGTTAGATGGTTTTGTCCAACTGAAAGCTAATATAACTGTTCCAAGCACATTTAAAGTAGCTTAGACTAAGCTATGATGTTCCATAAATTTTTTTTTTTTTTTTTTTTTTTGAGACAGAGCCTCAAGCTGTTCCCCTGGGTAGAGTGCCGTGGCATTACAGCTCACAGCAACCTCCAACGCCTGGGCTCAAGCGAGTCTCCTGCCTCCGCCTCCCAAGTAGCTGGGACCACAGGCGCCCGCCACAACGCCCGGCTATTTTTTGGTTGCAGCCATCATTGTTGTTTGGCAGGTCCGGGCTGGGGATTCGAACCCGCCACCCTAGGTGTACGTGGCTGGCGCCTTAGCCGGTTGAGCCACAGGCGCCGAGCCATGTTCCATAAATTAAGCATATAAAATGCATTTTTGATTTATAATATTTTCAATTTTCATTTATGTTATCTTGCTGTAAGTCAAGGAGCATCTGTAATTATATTTTAAAATAGAAACCTTAAATTTTAGAAATATAACTTTTCAGTTAATCAATATTAAGTAACCATAAATAAAATTTCAATTCATTTGCTTTTTACTTGCTCCTGAAATTCTGGGTCACAGTTGCTGGTAATAGTAGATGCTGATAACAATAGCGTGAATCTATTACACTATTATCTCGCAAAAGGAAATTATATCATTACTATAGTAATAAATGGTTCTTTTTGAACCACTCTTGCTTCAAGTCTAACATCTACTAAGTTCAAATAATTCAGAATATGTTAAAGTAGCAGGAAACTATCTCTTCTTTGTGATACCTTTAGATTGAGGTTTTCTTTTCTTTCTTTTTTCTTTTTTTTCTTTTTTTCTTTTTTCTTCTTTTTTTAAAGACAGAGTCTTGCTCTGTGGCCAGGGCTAGCGTACAGTGACATCAACATTTTTCACAGCAACCTCAAATTCCTGGACTTAAGTGATCCTCCTGCCTTAGCCTCCCAAGTAGCTGGGACCACAGGTGCCACCACCAAGCCTGGCTGATGTTTCTGTTTTTTGTCTAGCCTTATTTTCCATATTCCCTTAAGCTTCACGTGGCCAAGGCTGGGAAGATAGGCATGTCACTGGTGTGACAAGTTAGTAGTTTGGGGTTTGCCTTAGAGTTTGGTAGGGATAGAGTCATTTGACATATTGTTCTTTGTTTTTAAGATATGTTTAGGTTATACTTTTATTTTTTAATTTTCTGTTTTATCCTTTGATTTTTTTCTTTGCCTTTCATATCAACTTGTAATTTCAGTTTAGAATGTTTTATGAAGGCCAGGTGCAGTGGCTCATGCCTATAATCTTAGCATTGAGGTGGGTAGATTGTCTGAGCTCATGGGTTTGAGACCAGCCTGAGCAAGAGTGAGACCCCATCTCTAAAAAAAAAAAGGGGGGGGGGCTGGGCATTGTGTTAGGCACCTGTATTCCCAGCTACTTGGGAGGCTAAGACAAGAGAATCGCTTGAGCCCAAGAGTTTGAAATTGCTGTGAGCTATGACATCATGGCACTCTACCGAGGGTGACAAAGTAATACTATGTCTCAAAAAAAAAGAAAAAGAAAAAAACCAAACAATAGAATGTTTTATGAAATGAGCTCTAAAATTGATCTTATATAGAGAGAGTTTTTAGAATAAAAGAAATGCCAAGTGATCCTAAAAGAACTTAAATTGTTATATATGTATTGTATCTGTTCCCTGGACTTTACCCTTCCATCTGCACATTTCCTGATTGTTAGTATTGTGATATATACCTTTCATTCTGGGTGTTCACAAAATAATTCAGGTTCATAATTGGTTTTAATTTTAAAATGATTTTAAAGCCCCATTTATAATTTTTTATTAGACGTAGGATAAAATTATTTAATACAGTGGAGATTCCCTTCAGGAACTTTCAGGGGATACAACATTGTTGATGTTTAAATCTACAATTTATTCTAATAAATTTCCATTGTATTAAATTATTTACTTGAATTGCATTTTGTAGGAAACCAAAATTTACAGATTGTCTTTTAAATTGAAGTGTACCAGCTTCATCAATTAAAAAAAAATTAATTGTGTGAGAGCTTACAAATAAATATATTTTTACCTGAATATTTGAGTAAAAACAATACATTAATAGTAAATTTTTTCTCTCATAATTTCTCAAACACTAGCTGACCAACTAAATGTGTTTGCACCTCTTGTTACTTGATGTTCATGGTTCTTTGCATGTGTCTTTTAAACGAGAGCTTTAACTTCCTCTTGTGCATGGTTTGTGCAAATTGCAGTTTATTAACTTGTCTTTGTCTTTGATGCTTGCAACCTAATCCATCACAGCTACACTGCCTCGAAAAGAAAGTGCTGTCAAACAGGAAACAGAGAGTGAGTATGCTTAGTGTATTAGCAGGTCTCAATGCATGTTTGTTTAATGTCTAGAAATCAGTTATTTGTCTTTAAAAAAAGTTAACACCAAAAATATTGAGTGTACTGAATTGCCAGGTACTGGTGAAAGAAAACCAACATGGTGGTAATAGTATGGCTATCTCCAAGAAATATGTAATATAGTTATTATTAGTTGGTGAGTAGGAGAATTTTGTGTCAGAAATTTATAAGGAGACTTAATCACTGTATTTCTGTTTTCAGGCTATAAAGGCTCTTAGATAGATGGTCAGATTTTGTATAATGAAGCCAGAGTTTGTCTTTAATTGTCTCTATTATATCACCATTTGTCCCTTCTGACCATTAGCAGATAGTAAAAGTTAACTGAGAAATATTCAAAAAGGATGTTTTAAAACATTTTATTCATTGTTTATATTTAAAACAATGGCTTTAAAAATCACATTTTCTTTTAAAAATTGAACCCTGTCATCTCTTAGTATACGTGGGCTATCGTTTCACCACATGTTCTAGGTCCTTTCACGTCCATGATGGACCCTGAAGTATAAGTGAACACACACATCTCACCTGTGGTTAGGGATGTATATGTTACATTGCAGTTTCATTTTAAATACAGTTCAGGGGTTTTTTTTCTCTTTGTTTTGTTTAGTTTTTAACAGGATGATTAATTAGTCATTTACTGGAAAAATAGAGTTTCTGAGTCTAGAAGATGTTAAGTTCAATGGAATTGACTTTTTTTTTTTTTTTTTTTTTTTGGTCAGGCAAAATAATCAAGTATGGGCAGTTTTCTGTGGCTCAGCGTAATATGTTGATTTAATATGGAGATGAGTAACAATGGGATACAGCCATTTTCTTCCAAAATATAATAAACTCCTACTAGCTAGTGTAGTAACACAGACAGTATTCAGTGACCTTCATTTCTTTTGAAAGGGAAAGAAATCCTCATCTTCTTTAGTCTAGAGATGTTACCAGGCAACTTTGTGATCAGAGTGTACAGGGCACACGTCACATGATCTTTAAGGGCCCTTTCGGTGCTGTCCCATGGATCTGTGTGTTTTGCTTTTCTTTATAATATGGTCAAGATTAGGGCACAGCTTTGGGGAATGATAAGGATGCGGAGACAGGGTAGACTGGTGTACTCACTACCATGAGCTCTGGAATACCCAGCCAGTGGAAGAGATAGTCCTGACTGACATTCTGCATCTTTTATTTATGAAGATCACAACGTTCAAAGTGTTGTTATTTCTTAGGTCTTCATGGAAGTTCAGGGAAACTAACTGGATCTACTTCAAGTCTGAATAAACTCAGCGTTCAGAGCTCAGGAAGCCGAAGATCCCAGTCTTCTTCCTTGTTGGATATGGGAAACATGTCCGCCTCTGATCTCGATGTTGCTGACAGAACCAAGTTTGATAAGGTAAAATAAAATAACAGGAGCTTCTTAAACATTAACATTAGTTTTCTTTCCAAGAGCAGTTTGTGATTGCTTTAAGCGTGTTTGAAGACAGCCTCTTTTGGCTGTGTTAGTCATTAATGATGACTTACTGTCCTCTTCTGAATGGAATCTGAAAAAAAAAAAACGATCAGTCAAATGATAACTAAAATGTGCATGATCAATTAAATAACATTAAAGCTTATTAAAATGTGTTTATTATAAAGTACTCGCATCTCAAATCTTAGGTTGTTTGAGCAACTACAAGGTAAAGAGGAAATAGCTCTTGTGAAGCTTATGTTCTCTGCTTTGCTGCATAAAATAAGTGTTAAAAGTTTATCTTTGTGTTCCTCTTTCCAGATTTGAAGATGTGAGATTTATTTTACATGTATTGTTTGGCCCTCTCATACCTTGTTAATACTGCATTGCCTTGTCAATCTTGGAAGAGTTTGTCTTTGGGATTCTTTTGAGATTATAAATCCATGAATAGAGGCTGTTAAGATTAGAGATCCATGGTCCCTGCAGAAAAAGAAGTAAAATGTGAAATGTTATTTTAAGCCTTTGTTGTAGTTCTTTTATTATAGAATCATTTTGGTTTTCTTCAGATCTTCGAACAGGTGCTAAGTGAACTGGAACCCTTATGTCTGGCAGAACAGGACTTCATAAGTAAATTTTTCAAACTACAGCAGCATCAAAGTATGCCTGGAACTATGGTATGGCTCACATTTATTTTGGCTAGTATTTATGACCTCGTGAATTAGTATGTGGTTACAATTTCATTATCAAAACAGAATTTATGATGTCAGAACTTTTAAAACAATTTTTTTTATCATACATACCCCATGATAGTAAAAACTATAATAGTTGGGCAGTTAATTTAATATTTCAGAATATTGTAAACCTAAATGTTTTCTAAATTAGTGAGGTGAAAAAATGTCTTGAGTTTACTTTGCAAAGAACATTTTATACAAAAGCAATTTTAGTAGTTACCAAGAAAAACTATAATTCAAAGAAAAAGATGATATTTGAGTGTCTACACCACTGGTATAGCAAAAAAAGAAAAGAAAGTGAGGCCTCAGATATGAGTTTGAATCTTTCTTATGGCTTTGTTACTAAATAACTGTGAAATCTTCAACCAATTATTTGATCCCCAGTTTTTTATAAACTAGATGTAATAATGCCCATTCAACATGCCTTTTGGGCAGTATAAATGTAAGAGAATAAAATGAGAGATTTTTTAGAATATTTTGGAGAATTTTAAAGTGCAATGGAAATAGTCACTTTTATGTTAAGGTTGTCTCCTTTATGCCTCAAGGAAACTAACCTATAAAAAGCAGTCGTTGGCCAGGTGCAGTGGTGCATACCTGTAATCCCAGCCACTCTGGGAGGCCAGAGCAGGAGGATGGCTTGAGCTCAGAAGTTTGAGACCAGTCTGATCAACACTGAGACCCCACCCATACTAAAAATGGAAAAAATTAGCTGGACATGGTAGTAATCACCTGTATTCGCATCTACTTGGGAGGCTAAAACAGAAGTATCCTTTGAGCCAGGAGTTGGAAGTTACTGTGAGCGATGATGATGCCACTGCACTCTAGCCTGGATGACAGAACAAGACTTTGTCTGAAAACAAAAAAGGCAGCCATAAAATAAATGAGAAATTCACTGTTACTTCAAATGGTTTGGAGTTTGTTTTTGTCATATTGTCAATGGTTTGGTGATATTGGTGGCAGATTTGCTTACTTGAGTTCTTCTGTAAGAATTTTTGTAGCATTTTTTTAATGCTGAAGTTTTATTAGAATGATTAATGAGGTTTCCTGAATTTTTAAGTTCTCTTTTGAAAGTTGTTTTTGGGTGTTCTATATTTTTGTTGAATTGCCTTCTCGTTCCCATATCCCACCCTCCCCAGCCTTCTGCACCCTCCTGTACCCTCACACTAATACCACTGTCACCCCATAAAAATTCTCAGATAAAATCTAAGAACAGGTCTTTAAAGATTTCATAAGTGTCTTTATAACACACTAAATTGTACAGCTAGCTTTATCAGTAATGCTACCTTTAAAAATCATTATTTTTCACAATGTATTCTCTCCTAGGAATTTTAAAGCTGAGCAGTCTTTTGCTATATAAACTAGTCAAATTGTTGGTCTTTTGTTATGTAAAGTGCCTGAATAATTTTTGCAGACTGAAGCAGAGGACCTGGATGGAGGAACATTAACACGGCAATATAATTCTGGCATGCCACTGCCTGTGTCATCTGAGTATGTTTGTTATTATTCTGTTTATTTGGGGGAAAAAAAATAACTTTAAATTGAAGCATAGAGGAGTGCAGTTCATTGAGGGTTCAGATAATTCTCAGTAACCTGACAGCACTCAGAGACTGACATGTGTGTCCATTGTATTATCAAACATGTTACTGGATTAAAATTGATCCTATTATATGGCTCTTCTTTGTTCCAATAATCATAAAAAAATGTAGTCAATTCCAATGTTTGATAGTAGGAGGTAGTCTTTGAATTGTACTTTCTTTCTTAGAATTCACAAGGCACAAGGGTCTAGACCCTGCTTTACAAATGACAAACTAATGTGAGTGATAAAACTTAACTTCAGTAAAATAGTTTTAGAGTAGAAGCTGCTGTAGAATAATTAGTTCATCATATTTGGATATTGTTTATTGAAATTTCATTGTAGTATTCTAGTTATTTTATAGATACTCAGTGGATTAAAGTTAAAGGTGAATTCACATGAAGCTTGCCATGACTTTCTACATTTTGTATGTTTTCTAAACAGGAAAGATATGATCCGCCAAATGATGATTAAAATATTTCGCTGCATTGAGCCAGAACTGAACAATCTAATTGCATTAGGAGATAAAATTGATAGCTTTAACTCCCTTTACATGCTAGTCAAAATGAGTCATCATGTGTGGACTGCACAAAATGTGGACCCTGCTTCTTTTCTAAGTACTACATTGGGAAATGTCTTGGTGACTGTCAAAAGGAACTTTGATAAATGCATTGTAAGTTTTTAAGAAAAAAACTTCAAACCCTAATCACTGTTAAAAAAAAAAAATAGGTAAATGTATAGAAGTCAAGGGATCTCCGGCATTTTCTTAAAGGTCTGTTGTTTATGTCCCTCAAGCTTTGAAGCAAGATGTTTGTAGCAGTCTGGCTGAACAGAGTTAGTTGGATGGTACCATGCCAGCTTCTTTTACAGCAGAAAAGTGCTGTAAATCTTGGCAAGATCTGAAGTGAGTGACATAGTCATAGTAGCTGCTTAAGATAACCACTGGGTAAATGACATCTCAGTTTACTGCTCAGCAACCATTGATTTAATGAAACAATTGAAAGTATCACTTGGATTTGTTGTTGTTCTCTTATTCTGTCCCAAACCTTTTGCTACTAAGGAGATGTTTCCTCCTCTGCCTTTCATGCCTCTCTTTTATGTTAATTTAGGTCTCTTCATGGCATCTGGTAGATTATATGTGCTCAGTAAGTTATATTTTGAGATTTGGGGCAAAATCAGGACCTAGGGTTTAAAGAAATTGAAAAGGTAATAAATAAATCTGTGGTTATTGAACAAAAAGCACAAATATCAGATGGCTTCAGAAAATGGGACAGATAGCACCTGGCCATTTCATCTGGTGCCCAAGCCCAGAGTGTCTGGTGTTCAAAGGAAATAACTAAGAAAGACTCAACTGAACTGGAGCTAAAATGAGAATGTGCTCCCAGGCTGTGGATTCTGCAGTCTAGCATGTTTCTTAACTGTGTTTAGTTCATTATTTATTCCTCATACTAGAGTGATGAAGATGTGCACTCTGTAACTTTTGAGAATTATGTGACTTGGTTATAAATTGCACTGGATGAAGGATAGACAAGTAATATATTGATAAGTGGCCATATCAAAGTTGTAATTTTAAACACTGAATAACCTCCCTGTCCTGGTGGTGAAGGTATGATTGGGCAACCAATTAGAAGTAAAGTAGTATACTTACAGTTTGAGAGAAATTTGGATGATTTTTGTCAGAATGTGACACAGAACAAAACCTGCATCCAGCTTAATAAGAGCAATGGACCCACGTTCCTGACTTGTATCAGGCACAAGTCCAAGTACTTTGTATACACATTCTCATCTATTTCTCACCCTGCTCAATATGATGGGTGCTTTGAGAGGGGTAGTTACTTTCCCCAGGTCAGCATTTAGTAAATCAGGTTCCAGCATGTGCAGTCTGACCACTGTCTTCTCTGCTCCCTTCGTCTTTGTACCTCATAGCTATCAATACTGATGAAGTGGACCATTAGTAAAGATAATAAGAAATAGTTGCTATTATAGTACTCACAGGGCTTTCTTATATTAACATGTTCAGCCTAGGGGTAATTAATTTTCTAATCCACTTGTCATATGATTTTTAGGTTATTCCCCCAAAATAGCAACATGGTGGAATTTTAGGTAGAAGTTGAAATGACCCAATAGTATTTAGCATTGTGATTCTCACCATGAGTAGATTTAGATTCCCCAAGAATTAGATAGAGCCATAATTGAATCCATGGATCTTTCTGAACACAAACATCTGGATTCTGTCTGCATGGAACATTTTTCTTGCACTTTGTTATCTTCCTGCACAAGTATTTTGCTAAGTAATATATAGAAAACTCTATCTATACAATGCAAATCCATATAGAAGTGCCTATCCTCCCTCTCTGGTCCTTCACCCGAAAAGCAGAGAACTTGTCTATCCAAACAAATTTTAGAGTGATGAGAATTGAAAATGTTTGTGGTTCTCAAACTTGGCCATACAACCCCAACCAGAAGTTACCTGGGAAGACCCTGTATGTGCTGTGATGTCTGCTCTACTTTCACCCAGTATGGTCAGTTGCCTTGTCTTTCATAAATGATAGAAATGTATATTGACTATTTTTACTTTGAACAAAAACTTGAGGTTCACAAGCCTCAATTGTATTTTGTTTTAAATAATTTAGATTATTTTTTAAGTTTTCTTAAATGAGACTTATTAGAAAAATGTTTTTTGATTGATAGGATTAGTTTTTCTTAGTTATCCCTATGACTCCTCTTCAGTTAGTAGGCATCCAGAATGCCAAGGTACCCCATAATGTCCTATCTCCATAATGTATATATTTGACTGTTCAATTATATGTAGTTTCTAAGTTGCTTGGCTGTTTTTCTCCGTTGCTTTCTGCCTAACTTTAGAGTAACCAAATAAGGCAAATGGAAGAAGTAAAGATTTCAAAGAAGAGTAAAGTAGGGATTCTTTCTTTTGTTACTGAATTTGAAGAATTTGCTGGACTTGCAGAATCAATCTTTAAAAATGCTGAGCGCCGTGGAGACCTAGATAAAGCATACACCAAACTTATCAGAGGAGTCTTTGTTAATGGTAAGCTTTTGTCATAGTCCTAAGAATTTTTGTGGTCATTGTTTTCATTATTATTGGCAACTCAAACTGGGGACAGATATGCTTGTTATTTTCCATATTCTATGGTCTTTTTTAGGTTTTCTAGAATTAAAGATTCTTGAATTTGAAATAAGTAGTATATAAAACTTAATTGTGTTCATCAAAAACCACTTACATTTTAGGGATTATATAGGCTTATCACTTAGGCAAAATTGAAAATCATTTCTTAAACACACATACAAAAAATGACCTTCCAGGTTACAATATCATTTTGACAAGGGTTTTCTGGAGATGATGGATAATGATGTAACCTTGAGCAAATTAATTCAAAGTAACTTTGCTTTATCTGATTCTAAAATAATATATGCTCACTGTGTACCCCCCCAAATCAGAAAATAGATTTTAAAAGTCAAGAAGAAAATAAGGATCATTTGTAATCTCATTGTGCAGAAATAGTTTGATTTTTGTTCTTACAAACTTTTCACTGTCATATTCCCTCTCTCCTATATGTATATTTGTGTTCTTTAATATAAAAATTTTATGATCCCTAACACAAGGGCTTTTTTGGTTTTTTGATACAATGTTTTGGAAGCTGCTGGATTATATAATCCTAGTGTCTTTCCTTGTCAATGAATATAGATAATCATTTTTAATAATCATATAGTCCTTCATGTATCGTTATCTGTTTACCACATCTTCAACTAGTAGGCATTTATGAATAGTTTGTTTCTAGCATAGTATCTTTGTATACTCGTCACATAATTTCCTTAAAGTAAATTACTAGAAATGGAATTACTGGATCAAAGGCTTTTGCGATTGTGATGTAGAAAGCTTATACCATTTTAGTGCTATCTGCAGTTGGTGCAGTTTCCATTGCACCTGTACTGATACTGGATATTACCAGGTATTACCAAACTTTTTATTCTTTGTCAACCTCTAATAGGCTAGAAATTATCTTACTATTTTAATTTTCACTTTATTGACTTTCTTTATGATGTCTTTTACTTTACAGCATTTTTCAAATTTTATGTCACATTTATCTATCTTTCCCTTTATGGTGCCTAAGTTATAGGCCATCCTTAGAATGATGACATTATTACAAAATTCTTATTATTCAGTTAGCAATATTTTCTTTAGTACTTGATGATGTGTTTATTGCTTTTTATATTTTAAGTACTTGAGCAATTTAGAATTGGCTGAATGATTTGAAATAGGAATCTAAATGTAGTATGTTCAAAATGTCCATCTGGTTGTCCTAACACATTTTTGAATAATTTTTCAATTCTCCACTGATTTGAAAAGCCATCTTTATTATATATAAATTTCCGAATATACATGGTCTATTTTAGGATGACTTTGTATTATGTTCAGATAATTTTGAAAACCTTCCAGTACAATATTTTATTGAATGTGCTTAATTCTTCACTAACAAATGAAAAAAATTAATCATATGCACATTAACGTGTTTATAGCTAAACGTGGTCATACTCATGTCAGAAATGTTAATTTATTTTTTCTGTTTTGATTTTAGTGGAGAAAGTAGCAAATGAAAGCCAAAAGACCCCCAGGGATGTGGTTATGATGGAAAACTTTCATCATATTTTTGCAACTCTGTCTCGTTTGAAAATCTCATGTCTAGAAGCTGAAAAAAAAGAAGCCAAACAGAAATACACAGATCACCTTCAGTCTTACGTCATTTATTCTTTAGGACAACCTCTTGAAAAACTAAATGTAAATTTATTTTCCTTTAGTATTTTTTTCCTGGTTTAAACGTGTGTACATCTGTGTGCATATTAACACACAGACATTTATCTTCCATTTTCTCGTGTATTGACTCAGGGATAAGGAAGGAGGGACCTAAGTGCTAGACACTGCTAGCTGCCCTATTCATTATTTCTTTTATCTGTACATTCCAGAGTGTCCCCAAAGTCACAATATATAGAAAATGTGGGAAATTGTAGCTAAATGTACCTATATTTACCAAATATTCACTATAAAATCTTACAAAGAAGTAGGCAATACATAGAGAATGCTCTGTAAATATTTTGTAAAATTTTATAATGAATATTTTATAAATGTATACTTAGCTACAACTTCCCATTTTCCCTATATATAGAGACTTTAAGGACAATCCTGTATTTCTATTTATTGTTTATTATCTGTTATAATAGGTATTTTATAATTTTATTATTAATAATGTACTGGTTAATAATAAAACAGAATAATATTATTCTGTTATCCATTCATTATTTTTTTTAATTCTCATAAACGATGTGAGCTAAGATAGTACAATCCTCATTTCACAAATGAAGAAATTGAAAGTGTAAAACTTGCCTGGCATTAATAATAGCTTACAGATAACAAAACTGGAGGATGAGCCCAGATTTGGTTTTTCATTATACCAACTGTATCTTGTTTTTTACTGCATAAATGGCCAACCATTATGCTACTTTAGGTGAAGATTTTTAAAACATTATCAAGATAAAAATAAAACATTGTTTCGTACATTGCCCTTTCCTATCATTTCCTGTCATTTCCCAGAGCAAGTCTGATAATTAAAGTTAAAAAATGATGGTTTTAGAGAACTCTAAACAGAAAAGAAGTGTAACACTTCCAACTAACTTTGTCTATAATATGATTAGTCCTCTTTTACATGTTAATTTGAAATTAGAGCACAGTAAAGAATATGTATTTGTTGTCAATAATTCAGATGATTACTTAAGAGACAGAACTAATAATTCCTTATACAATTTAAGAACAGACATACACTCTTTTATTCTACCTATCTAGGCCTCCCTAAAGATCTATCTGAGGCCTCCCTAAACCCTGCATGATACCCAGCTCCAGCATCAGAGGCATTCCCTCTAATAGTTCACAACAGAAACATTGCTACATCCTTTATTGCTATTGTTCTTGAAGCTCTAGCTAGAAGCTCTAGCCAGTGAAACAAGACCTAAAACATAAATAAGAGATCCAGAAAGAATCAAGATTATCATTGCCTTTATACAATATGTTGAAATTACTGGTCTTGGATAAAGTGGCTAGATTCAGAATAAACTTAAAAGCAATTTATTTCTGTGTGCCATAATAACTGATTAAAACCTATGTAGGAATGAAATTTTAAAAGCACATATGAAAGTAATAGTCTCATGTACTTTTTCACATCTAAAATGTTAACAGTGGTTATCTCTGAGGGGTGTGAGAATAGAGGACTGTGATTTTATTTTTTATACTTTCACACCCTGTTTTTTACACAGTGAATATATACTATTTTATAATTAGATTGTTAAAAATTTTGGCAGTAATAAATCCAAGTCTTGGCCATCATTTCTTTTCATTTCCTTGAAGCATTTCTTTGAAGGCGTTGAAGCTCGCGTAGCACAGGGTATAAGAGAGGAGGAAGTAAGCTACCAACTTGCATTTAACAAACAAGAACTTCGTAAAGTAATTAAAGAGTATCCTGGAAAAGAAGTTAAAAAAGGTCTAGATAACCTCTACAAGAAGGTCGACAAACATTTATGTGAAGAGGAGAACTTACTTCAGGTATGCATAGTTCTTTTGACCATCCTGGCTTACAGATCATGACAATATATGCTTTTCTCTGAATATTTGTCTATAAATGCTACAGATCTAGAGCAGGAAGAAAGTTCAATAAAGTACAGACCAGATTAATGAACTTGTAAGGAAGAAAGAAATAATACTTATATATGCTTATATGGCTGTTCCTGCTTATTTTGTAGTTGTATTATTTTGTGGTGAGGCTTTAAGCTTGTTTTTCTTTTTGGTTTGTTTGTTAAGTGATTGGAGTTAGAAATGGGTTCATAATTTGGGTCCAGATTAAGCTACAAGTTACTTGGCCATGTTACTTAACCTTTCTGAGTCTTGGTTTCCTTTTTTGAAGAGTGGAAATGATACCTCTCGTGTAGTAGGCACTGTTGTTACTGTCATTGTCGTTTCATAAATAGGAAAATCAGAGCTTAGAGAGGTGGAGTAATGATCAAGATCCAGTAACCATGGGTCATGGAGTCAGATTTAAAGTGTGAATTAAGCTGTCACTCTTTATATACCACACTGAAAGGCCCAGAGATGAGTGAAAATAATTCTGATATCAAGATCACAGACAGTTTCCTGAAGGATATGCATTATTTGTGTTAACCTTTGAAAGTCAGTATTTTAACAGATCAAGTGGGGTTTGGGGGCAGGGGGTGTTGTAGGTGTAAGAAATAGCATGAGCTAAACAATGAAAAGGCAAAAGCGTAATACCAGTAGGGAATGGTGATTAGTCTTAAGTTGATAGGAATTTAGGATTTATGAGATTTAGGGTTTACAAGAAAAAATTCTAAAAGAATACATTCCCTCAGCTGTTAAATAAGGCTTGATGATCATAATACCTGCCCTCATCAGGTCAGCATGAGACTTAAACAGGATAGTGTGTGCCATACAGAAAGCACTGTGCCTGTGCTGAGGGGAGGAGCTGTTATGTGACGTGTGTCACATTCTGTCTTGATGGTTGTTTACAAGTGAGTCTCCACTGCTGCTTACAAGTCACTCGATTGCAGAAAGCAGGCCTGATTCTCTTTGGTGTCCTCCATTGCATCAGGCAACGTTTTGCCTAATTGATTTTAGATAAAGAAAATTTTAAATTTTATCAGAAATGAAATTGAGGTGTTAACTGTTGTACTTCATTTAATAACTAGTCTTAGTTCCATCCATAACTGTGTATATCTACATCTGTGTTATTGGAGTATATATAATAATAGCTAAAGTGTAATGAGTGCTTACTTGTGTCAAATGCTGTCCTAAGCACTTTATCTGCATTCACTGATTTAATCCTCACAAAAAGCTTATGATGAACTTATTACTCTGGTTCATAGATGAAGAACAGTGATGTCATACACGAGAGGTCCCATCTTATAAGTGAAAGGAGCTAGAATAGAGGCCAGGGGCAGTGGCTTACGCCTGTGATCCTGTGGCTTTGGGGGTCCAGTGTGAGAAGGTCTCTTGAGGCCAAGAGTTTGAGACCAGCCTGGGCAACATAGTGAGAGCCTGTCTATACCAAAAAAAAAAAAAAAATTTAAAGGAGCTGGAATTCTGGATGTTCTTAACTACTATTCTATGCCAAATTCTTAGAATATATCTTGATGTTATTTCCTGTATGTGATTATGTATTATTTCTGTTCATAGTTTAATGATTTTTATTTTTATAATAGGTGGTGTGGCATTCCATGCAAGATGAATTTATACGCCAGTATAAGCACTTTGAAGGTTTGATAGCTCGGTGTTACCCTGGATCTGGTGTTACAATGGAATTCACTATTCAGGACATTCTGGACTATTGTTCCAGCATTGCACAGTCCCACTAAACCTCATGAAAGAGGAAAAGATAACAGATAAAGCACACCAGACACTATACCAAAATATCATGCAACTGCTTTGAGAACTCATACTTAAAATTTTATCTATTATTAAATGTCAGTTAAATGGGTAGTACCATACTGCAAATATTCCAGTGCAAAAGTACAACTTATGTAGTAGTTTTATTTGCCCAGTAGGTTCTATATTAACTTAAAGCATTTATCTCATCATAAAATGCCATTAGCATTTTTCAGTGAGTGAACAGGAAGTTTTCCTTTATTACCCAGTTTCTTGTGTTTCAGAATGATTATTCTGGGAGCGATGCATTGGGAGTTCTTCAATGTTTACTATTTCTCTGTTGCTTACAAATAATGTAACTACTAAAATACTGTACAGAATTGTTTCTTTCCACTGTCTAACAAATGTGTACATAGATAAGAGGGCTAATGTCATGATCAGTTGTAAACTTAACTCTGTGTAGTAATAAATGTGAAATAAAATTTTCAAAAAAGTTGACATTTGGTAATATTTTTAAGTCTGTTATATGCTATCTTCTCTATGAAAAGAAGTTGTTACAAAATCAATATACAAAAATTAATTGCATATACCACAAAATACTTAAAAGTGTTATAATGAGAAAAGTAATGTGGTAATACAAATAAAACTATAACACCATTGAATACATTTAGTATTTAGGACTAAATCTAACAAAAGATATACATTTGCGTCCCTCCAAAATTTGTAGTTGAAGCCCACCCTAACCCTCCATATTACTGTATTTAAGACAGGGCCTTTAAAGAGGTAATAAAGGTTAACAAGGTCATAAGGGTAGAGTCCTGATCCAATAGATCAGGCACCAGGTCTATTGGATCAGGATGACATAAAGTTCATGTGCAATTTAAAGCAGTTTAACATAGCAAATTGTAAATGAGCTTTATGTCCATTCTGTACAAAGAGGAAGAGACCCCAGAGCTGTTGGACTTTTGCCATGTGAGGACACAGAGGAGTCAAGAGTCTGCGAGCCAAGAAGACAGTCCTTTCAGCTTCCAAAACTGAGAGAAAATAAATTGCTTTCAGCTGCCTAGTGTTTGGTATTCTTTTATGGCAGCCCAAGCTAATTAATACAAGATGTATGTTGGAAGACCTATATGGAGCAATTACAGAATAGGCAGTGGATGAGATAGAACAGGGAGGTGGAGGATGTAACAAGCAAGACAAAGCAACATCAGTCTGTAAGTGAGAAAGCTTCTCTAGATTAGCATTTCAGCCCATTTCACTTGCCTGTCTAGATCTCATGCAAGATGGTAGGTCTTCTAGAAGTTTTACCTAATTGGCTAGAAGAGAAAATAGTGAGGAAAAAGGAAATTAAAGGAATATAATCTGAATTTTATACTTGTCTGCTTTTAATGTGAAGTAGTTTTCCTGATATCTTTTCATTTAAATTATGTTGCCCTGTAATTCTCTCATAGGAACCTGTTGTTTCCCTTCATGGCACTTACCATAATTGGAAATGTATTGCTTTGTCTTTTTACCTCTTTGGTATCTTATCTCCTCCACTTAGACAGCAAGCTTTATGGCTTGGATCAAGACTGTTCTAAGGCTGGGTCCAGTATCTCCCATCTGTGATCCTAGCACTCTGGGAAGCAGAGAAGGGAGGATCATTTGAGTTCTGGGGTTTGAGACCAGCCTGAGCAAGATTGAGATCCTATTTTTACTAAAAATAGAAAAAGTACCCAGGTGTGTTGGGTGCCTATAGTCCCAACTACTGGAGAGGCTGAAGCAGGAGGATCTCTTGAGCCCAGGAGTTGGAGATCAGCCTGGGCAACATAGTGAGACCCTATGTCTACCAAAAAATTAAAAATTAGCTGGGTGTACCAGCTATAAATCTTAGCCACTCAGAAGGTGGAAGGCTCCCTTGAGCCCAGGAGTCTGAATTGCAGTGAGCTATGATACCGTCCCCATATTCCAGCTTGGATATATTCAACCTGGATATACTGATATAGTCGACCCACCCCAACTAAATATACAAGAATTATGTGAAGGTGAGGCTCAGATTTTGCACAAACCTCCAAGTGATTAGAATGGACAGCCATGGTTGTCCTTGTCTGAATCAGCCATGCAATCCATTTCTCCTTTTGCCTAGGTTTGGTTTAGCAGTGTGTATCTGTGTGGCTCAGTTCGGATCAGTGAAATGTGAGAGAAAATCCGCTAAGGGGTCCTAGGAAAGACTTCCCACCCTGATAAAGGTTGATGTTCACAAGACAGACAAGGTTTCCTGCCTTCTTGGGTTGGGATATGAAGACATAATTAGAGCTCCAGCAGCTGTTACCATGACATAGCTGACGCAGGGAGATGGCAGAGAAGAAAAGCAGGAGCCTGCTTAACTTGGAATCTGCCCACCTCTAGCCGCCTTGTTACATAAGATGATTCAATGTCTCTATTGTTTAAGCCACTGATGCTGTGCCTTTTGTATAACTCCTTTTTTCTTCCTACTTACAATAGGACTTTTACTCCTTTGTTTATAAATATATTTATCAAAATCAGTTGCATAATGGTTAAGAGCATGAGTTTGGCCTCTTTGCCTACTTGCCCTGGCAATGGAAGCCTGTTCAATGTCTATGGAGATTGTATCTGCTTTCTTACTTTGTAAGCTTTTCTTTCTTTTCTGCAATAAACTTTGTTTCATACTTGCCTTAAAAAAAAAAAAAAAAGAACATGAGGTCCGCAATCCAATAGAACTAGGAATAGAGTGCTAGGTCTCCATACCTGTTAGGAGCACATGGTTCTCCAAACTTTATTTCCTCTTCTATAGAAACAGTGGTGCCCATTTCCTAACTCTCCGTGAGAATTAAATGAAATGACGAGCGGAAAGCACTCAGCACCGTGCTCCGCACTGCACTTGATGAATATCAGCCATTATTGTCACGTGCTTGCTCTGTACTGGGAACTTTCTCTTGTTCCATTTAATTTAATTTAGTTAAAAAATAAAACAGAGTTGCCTACTCTGGAAAATAGTAATGCATCAGATTATTAGGGACTGCTGCCTTTTCCCATGCATGGAATTATAACTATTGTTCACAAATAATTCTTTAGAATCTCCATGTACAACTTAAAGTATGGGATCTGTGACTGGACAGTGACTTGTTTGTTTTCTGTTTCAGTGATTTTCAACCACTGTGCCATGACAGGATCTTAGGTGTGCTTCAGAAATTTTTAAAATTTTCCTATGAAAAGAAAAAGAACATTCAGTCATCAGTAGCTTGGCTATAGCCATTTGCAATTAAAATCAGAAGGTGAGATTGTAGTAGTAGACACTATTGTGGATTAGATAAGCATTTTGTTTCAATGCTTTTGTGAGCTCGATTTTATAATACTACTCAAGAGAAGTAACAAGTTAATTTTTTGTGTCGAATGGACCAGTACATCAGTTTTAAAGTCAATGTACTTTAAGATGAAGGAGAAAACAGAAGATCTGTCTTGGTTGAGGAAGAAAAAACAAAATCTTGCTGGGTTAATAATCTTGCTGGCTTTTTTGTGTCCAATATGAGGGATCAAAGAAAAATGTAGATCATGGAATGATATGTAAAAATAACACATATGTAAACAGTGTGAGAGCAGTCATTTAAGATTTTAAAAGACTGCCTTGTTTCTTTTTTTCTATGTAGAATTTATTTATTTATTCATTTTTTAAATTTATTTTTTATTAGATCATAATTGTGTACATTAATTCTATCATAGGATACAGTGTGTTGCTTCCATATGCAGTTCGGAAAACTCTCATCCAACTGGCTAACATAGCCATCATGTCCTTCTCATAATTGTTGTGTTAAGACATTTATATTCAACCTTTAGACAAATTAACATGTACCCTAATAGGATAAATTATAGGCGTGATCCCCACAATATCATTCTCTTCACCCATCCTCCCCCCTCCCCTCCCCCCCTCCCCTTTCCCCGTAGTCTAGGGCTCCATTTGGATTGTAGCTTTCCTAAGATAGCTAAGAAACAAAGCATTCCCAACACTACTACACTGCCGGTGGGAATACTTTGTTTCTTTAATGATCATCTATATCAGTGATTTTCAACGGGTGTGTCATGAGAGGACGTTAGGTGTGCTTTGAACATTTTAAAAGATCATTGGTAGAATTATTTTTGAAAGAAGTTTAAAGCACAGTAAATATATTCTCTTTTTCAACTGAGGCTGAGGCAAGAGACTCCCTTAAGCCCAAGAGTTTGAAGTTGCTGTGAACTGTGATGTCACAGCACTCTACTGGTGGTGACATAGTGAGACTCTGTCTCAAAAAAAAGAACAACAACAACAAAAAAGAACCCAGGGATGCTGTTATTTATGGTCTGATGTACACCATGTCCCACTGCAACAAATAATTATCCAGTTTAAAACGTCAATAGTGTGGTCCTTGAGGAACCCTACTCTAGGGACACAAAGATTTGCTATCATGCAAAAAAAGCCAGTTCTACTTTAAGCACAGTATCTGGTATATAGGCACTTTTGCATATCTTATTTTTTAGTCCTATCTTATCTTTTTAAAACTTTATTTCATATTACTCATTTGGTAGTTATAGTTTTCTGGAATTCCCCTCCTTGTCTATGGAAAACATTGAGACTGGTGACATTCATTCTGAGTATACTGAGTATACTCAGTCATCAATGCTGAGACAAATAATAACCAAATTAAAAAAAAATTCACAGAAACTCCCTTTTCAGACTGTTATTAGAGAAAGGGTCATTTCTAGACTTCAGCTGAAGGTCTAAAACTCAATCCCAGATCTTGTCTGGTACTTCAGGGACTTCCTTGTCATAGCTGAATCACTAAGGCTAGCCTTTAAAATGTCATGGCTGATTACAATGAAAGGATTTCTGACCAGGTATTAAGTAGCCACTAAGGTTCTTTTATCTTTCCCTCTTTTCCTAACTTTGTAAGATTGAAGAGAGAGATGAAAACTCAATTATGCAGCAGCACCTGTGGCTCAGTGGGTAGGGCGCTTGCCCCATATACCGGGGGTGGCAGGTTCAAACCTGGCCCCAGCCAAACTGCAACAAAAAAATAGCCAGGTGTTGTGGTGTGTGCCTATAGTCCCAGCTACTTGGGAGGCTGAGGCAAGAGAATTGCCTAAGCCCAGGAGTTGGAGGTTGCTGTGAGTTGTAACGCCATGGCACTCTACCGAGGGTGACAAAGTGAGACTGTCTCCGAAAAAAAAGAAAAAGAAGTGGGTAAGAAAGGTTATAGGATTTAAATTCATAGGATCAGAGCAGGCAAGGAGTTCAAGAAGAGTGGGGGAATAGTTAACAAGAGAAGAGTCTGAAGGAGGATAAATAACTAGTATAATATAAGTAGCCTGTGGTCTCTCAAAATTTTAAACCTCTTAGCCTTTGGAGCAGAGAATAGGTTCCAGGACTTCCATGCCAAGGGTAGAGGGCAAGAAAGATGACTGCTCTCAGCCTCCATTCTGAGTAGACAGGCAGCAGAATGGGGATAATTATAATAGCTA